ATGGCCAGGTCAGGAAGGGGGGTAAATCCTCTGGAGGATAAGTGGTTTAAGTGTGGAAATTACTGGTTGTTACCAGGGTCACTTGAACTAGTGTCCTTTTTGGAAGATTTCTTCTCCGTTACTGTTCATGTCAGTGAACCCAAGTCAGTAACCCCCAATGTCAGAATGTCTGCCGCAATCCCGCCATAAGTCGCTAATCTCCGCCATTATTAGTATAAAAAAAAAAAAATCCCAGTATCTTTCCCGCCATTTGTAAACGCTATAACTTTCACGTAAACCAATTAATTTACACGTATTGGGTTTTTTTTTTTTTTTTAAGCAAAGACATGTCACAGAATGCATTTTGGCAGAAATTTATGACTAAATTTGATTTTTACATTTTTTTTTATGGGACGTGTTTTATAGCAAAAAGTCCAAAATATTGTTTTTTTTCCTCAAAATTGTCAGCCTTTTTTTTTTATAGCGCAAAAAAATAAAAACCGCACAGGCAATCAAATACCACCAAAAGAGAGCTCAATTTGTGGGGGAAAAAAGGATGTAAATTTCATTTATGTACCGTATTGCATGACCGCGCAATTGTCCGTTAAACTAGTGCAGCGCTGTATAGCAGAAAAATGGCGTAAATTGCAGTATCTATACCATAGTTTGTAGACGCTATAACTTTCACACAAAGCAATCAATATACACTTATTGGAATTTTTTTTTTACCAAAAACATGTAGCAGAATACATTTTGGTCTAAATCTATAACCAACTTTGAGTTTACTATATATTTTTTATAGCTGAAAGTAAAAAATATTGTTTTTCTTCAAAATTTTTGGCTTTTTTTGTTTATAGCGTGAAAAATAAAAAGCGCACAGGTGATCAAATACCACCGAAAGAAAGCTCTATTTGTGTGAAAAAAAGGACGTAAATTTCGTTTGGGTGCAGCATTGCATGACCGCGCAATTATCAGTTGACTTAGTGCAGTGCCGAGTAGCAAAAAGAGGCCTGGTCATTAAGGGGGGGAAATCCTCTGGAGGTCAAGTGGTTAAGAGGACATCATATGATGCCCTCCCAGGATTGCACCTCGGGCGCAGCTGGGGATCTGCAACCCAGGCATTTACACAGTGGATTGGGGTGGAACTGTGTTGGATCTATGGGCTGTTGTGCCTATTTACCTTTTTTGTATTTTTTTCTTCTACCTTCCTTTTTTAATTAAAAATGTGAAAAAGTCTGGTGTTGACTTGTCTGCTTTAAATGCACAGTTGTGAGGCATTTAGTATCCAGCTGTGTTGTGTGTAAGCCCCAATAATTAGATCTTAGTTGCTATCTGACGGCATGAAAACCCAGAAAACCTACCCTTTGTTATTTATTGTACCCCAAGTGTCAACTTATTTATAAAACTTTAAGTGTCAGTCTAACATTATTTTTTAAATACACCTTTGCTTGAGTTTGGAGGATTCAGAGGAGAATGAGAGAGCACCTAAAGATCCATCAGAGTTACATGAATGTTGCTCTCCCACAGAAGGATCTTGCTTGGCTGTAGTGAGAGTAAAATGTAGAGCAAACCTGTCATGAGAGAAATGTGTGGCTCCCGCTGCTTGTAGTTGTCTTGCTGTAATGCTGATCCTTGCTGTAAGGCATTCTGAGTCAATGGGGTTGATTTTACTAAAGGCAAAATATATGTTCACTTTGCAAGGGCAAGTAGCTTAATGAATGTGGTGAATTTTCACTTTGCAAAGACTACCCAGTCATGTGAAAGGAAAAGCCTGTTTGCCTTTATTAGGTCAACCCCTGTGTGTTCTGACTTTCCTTCTCTGAATACTTGTTCCAGATCAGTGAATTTGACAATAATGATACCTGTGGTTCAACACAACAGCCAGGTAACTAACATTTTCAAAAGAAGGCCATTAATGGTAACCCCCATGTTTACCTTTTCAGCCTAGTGACCCCTCTTCCTGTGTACTGACTAGACTAGTGAACTAAACTTTGATCTTCTTAATCGTTTGAGTCTAGAGAATCATTTATCACGCTCCTATATAAATAGGCACGAGATGTCTTATTACACCAAAGTAGGCATGTCATAAAATAAGGGATTAAAGGTTGAAATGTATTGTAATTGGTTTTATTTCCTGTGTTTTCCAGAATGCGCATTACCAATGTAGATTCCAAAACACAAACGGTGAAATTATCTATAGCCTAGTACATATCGTCAAAAACGTTTATACATTTAAAGCCCAAATCTGGGGGTATAGGAACAGGCAGTATACCCTGACTCAACGCTTCGAGTCTCTTCTTCCTGAAGCTCCAGCCTGTGGGCGATTCCTCAGTAACTTCACATACAATGCAGGGCTATTAACTCTGCATTGTATGTGGAGGAAGCCGGCGTGTTTCACGGGACCGGTTGGACAGCTGCATTATTCCTGCGGCCTAACAAGAACTTCAAAGTGGTTTTATTTTTCCCCCCGGCCTTCATGCTAGTTGCAGGGGCCTAATAGTATATGCTCCCTCATGATTTCAGGGACAGTGGACTTGGAGTGGTTGCCTATCTGTGTTTTTCTAGGCTACTATTAGTATCCTAGCTGTGGGACCTTCCCTCCCCATCACCTTTTTGGTTTTCCCCAAGGTTTCTTCTCCACCAAAGGAGAAGCAACTATCCCCATGGGTGCCAAGGCTCTACTGGAGCCCTCCCTTACATTTGCTCAGGCTCTGATTCCTCGGTGGCTGGCTGAGCCCTTGACATGTGCTGTTGACTGGTATGGATCATGGTGGCTAGCTTCCCCATATCTCTTGGACAGAGATCAGGTTCATGCTCCATCCCTCTTCCCCCGAGTATAAGTGAGGTTGGGAGCAAAGGCATCTGGAGTTCCTGACTGTATCTATAGATTGTTTAGATCCCCACTTAGTGTTTTTTTTTAACTACTTGCCTACTGGGCATTTATACCCCCCTTCCTGCCCAGGCCAATTTTCAGCTTTCAGCACTGCCGCACTTTGAATGACAATTGCGTGGTCATGCAACATTGTACTCATTTTTTATAATTTTTTTTGAGACGGCACTTTCTTTTGGTGGTATTTAATCACCTCCTGGGTTTTTTTTATTTTTTTGCTAAACAAACCAAAAACAACTGAAAATTTTTGAAGAAAAAAAAAAATTTTTTTCTTAGTTTCTGCTATAAAATTTTGTAAATAAGTGATTTTTCTCCTTCACTGATGTGCGCTAATGAGACTGCACTGATGAGGAGGCACTGGTATGTGGCACTGATGGGCATTGACTAGCAGCACTGTTAGGCGGCACTGATGTCGCATTGATGGACACTGACAGGTGGCACTGATGGGGCTACACTGATCATCACTGCCCTGATGATCAGTGTATATGTCCCCTCTTAGTAATGCTGATTACTGGCTCTCCTCTCCTCATGAACTGGCAGCGTGACAGCTCGTGAGGAGAGGAATGCCGATAACCGGCATTTCCTTATTTACATGCAATCACCTGTGATTGGACACATCTGATCACATGACCGAGCCGACGTCATCGGCTCTTTCCATTAATCGGTGATCCGCTGTGTCCCAGGGACACAGCGCACCACTGATCGCCACTCTGCGCTCCCCTGGGGGCACGCATGCATGCGCGGGAGTAGAGTAGGAGGACATCGTATGATGTCCTCCCAGAATGAGAGAACCGCCTTGCACCTGTCATTTTCTTATATTGCGGGCGGGAGGCGGTTAAAAGGCCCCAACCATACCTGCTCAACAACATACGGCATCCCATTCACTTGAATGGGTTGCCCTGCTTGCAACAAACACACGAAAATAGCTCCTGCGCCTTTTTTTTTTTTTTTTTTTTTTGGCAGTGAGCCTCATCCTCGTGTCTTTCTAATGTCTTAGATTGTAAGCTCTATCAGGCAGGCCCTCTGATTCCTCTTGTACAAAATTGTATTGTAACTGTAATGTCTACCTTCATTTTGTAAAGCGCTGAGTAAACTGTTGGCGCTATATAAATCCTGTATAATATCAGAAAAAATGCCAAAATGTTCATTTTGCCATAATAATGTGCATCTGCTAGCAATCTTTGTGATGTCATTAAGAAATCCTGGTACTGCAAGTGCGATGTGCATTTTGGCGTGTTTTCATGAATTTACAGGTATGAATGGGACCTAAGATAAAGCAGAAAGTGTAGGGAAATCCACTTTTAGATGGTTGTCATCAGAATGGTTGTCACCAGTTCTTCAGAGCCGGCAGTTTTGCAGACTGCATTCAAATATCCAGCCTTCTGCCTGGCCTGTCTGGTGAATATGCTGCAATAATTGTGCACACCGGGTACTGCTGAAAATCACCACACTGTTCACTTGACCCTGAAATCTCTCCTTTTAAGCCCACATTGGTGCCTTCCTTCTCCCTTCCAGTTGCTTACAGGACAGGCACTTCTGTTGTAACCCTAATTTTTCACCTTGAGTTGTGTTTTAAGTAATTCTATTAACAATGAAATGATCTTTTTTTGTCTTGATTTAATCTATTTTTTTCACCCGCAGAAGGAAGATCTAATGCTTGACTCTGGAGTTTCATCATTTGGAAGTGGGGAAGTCTGAAGTGTATTGGCTGTTTGGAGAGTGTACTTTGTTTTACAGACTTCTATTACTACTAAAATATGCAAACTTTTGATATGGTGGCTTTATCTCTTCAATGCCTTTTTTTGACAAAATGAAGGTTAGAGAAAGCTTGTTTTGTTCCACTTTATGGGATTTTTGATTGTTTCCTCCTGTTTGCCTTTATGCATTTTCTTGCCAAGTTTTATATTGTATGTCATATATTCTATGGTAAGGTCACAGATAGTGACATCCATACCAACAACATAAAATGTCCACAAAATATTGTCAGGCATCAGACACCCTGCTTCATGGAGAATTTGGTGTCTATCCATCCAAAGACATTCGTTATGTGCTCAGTCTGACCCAAACAGGGCTGCATATTCAAAGACTGGTGCCCAAACCTGAAGATGACCAACGAACAGTGCTGCCCATTATGGACATGGTGGGATGCCACACACTACGGAGTCGTGGCACAAATGATGTTTTTGCCTATTTTTCTATATATTCCTATCCAATGAAGAAGAAAAAGGTTGCAATGGGCTCCACACGCACTCGCCAAAGGTTGGTTCACACTTTTAAAGTGGACGAAGCCTCCGAATATGAGCGAAATCAGTCTGTTGCTGAGAAGTGGGCAACTGCAATCAAGTGCCTGATTCAAGATATCCCAATCTCCAGTGACATCGGTAAGCAAATTATTACAGCTAAATACATTTTTTTTTTTCCATTTTGTTGTCCATTCATGGGATTTGTATGTGCTTGTGAAAATCTAGCATCTTTAATATACCTAAGAGCATTCTGCACTGATGTGCCACAAAAGATATGCAGAAAGTACAAAGACATGCACTTGTTCTTCCAGCGAGTACACAATGAGAGAGGCAAGGGACAGGGGCTGAGAGGCGAGGAGGGAATTTTTTTGCAGTAATATATATATTATTGATCTACAGTTAAGTGGCCATCACCCCAAACATACTGACTAGTTAGGGTCCTGGTTTACAATCATGGTGATCATGGATCACCGCTTGTAGTTCAAGACACCACAGGTCATTGCTGCTTCTCTGTCTGGACCAGGAAGCCAGCTAAGAGATGTTTGGAGAGTGGGGAAGAGGGCTGGAGCACTCATGGACCACCGCACTGAGCGTGATGACGTCACCAGGAAACTTGCTAGTTTGTAAGTCTCCAGACATCGGCAGTGGTGACACCAGTGACATCTTTAATTACAAGCGGTGATCCATCGCCGTGGTGTTTAGATGTACCTTTTGTAACTTAATTATATGTGAAGTGCCTATTTATTGGTAAAATTTATAGAGTGTCTACACTTAGAGATGTTTCTCTTTCCTTTTTTTTTTTTTTTTAAATGTATTGGAGTCAGCTTTTGCTCCCCTTATGAAGCTTGCCCTTAGTGGATGGACAGTCCCTGTTTCTTTTTTTTTTTTTTTTTTTTAAAATATTTATTAGTTTTTCAATCCACATACAAGTCATTTCAACATATCTCTTAAAATATTTATCAAAAACATATATTTTCTCCTTATAAAATTTATTCCTATATATGACTTTCTTTTCATACCATCCCCCCCTCCCAAACACCCCCCCCTCCTTCTCCCCGTCCCCTCCCTTCCCTCCCTCACCTTCCCACGCTCTATATTCTCTCTTCTCTCATTTACTCCATATAATTCTGTTATTCCTAAATCCAATTCTGAACCGACTACCCAGGACCTTATCTCTTCACCTTTTTTCGCCATTTCTTTATATTCTCCCCATCCTTTCCATTTTTTATTGTACATCTCCAGCTTATCCTCGTGCGTATATTACAATCTCTCTGTCCCAGAAATCTGGTTTACTCTACCCATCCAGTCTTCCTCCGTTGGCACCTCTCTTTTCTTCCAGTACCTGGGTATCAAGCTCTTTGCTGCGGTTAAGTAATACCATATCCCTGACCTCTTATATACTTTTACTGGGAGTTCTGAGATATGGAGGAGGCATAATTCTGGGTCTAATCCTATATTGATTTTAGTAATCTTCCCTATCAAGTAAACTATCCTTCGCCAGAACACCTGTATTTCTGGACACTCCCACCACATATGATACCACGTGCCCACCTCTCCACAATCTCTCCAACACATCTGTGAAATTTTCCGTTTTCATCTTGTGCTCCAGGTAAGGGGTAATGTGCCATCTATTCAAACACTTATAATTTATTTCCACTTCTCTCATACTAATATTTTCGTGAATTAATGTGAACATCTTCTCCTCCTCCTCTATTTTTCTTCCCATATCTCTTTCCCCCCCCATTTCTCTATGTGCATTAATTCTGTGTCTGTGTCAAGTTCCATTAATATCTTGTGTATTTTTGCCGTTCCCGTGTCTACCATTGCCCCCGTGACTCAAAAATTCTGTCAAATGGATTCCAGTCTTTTCTAGTTCTTATAGGTTTTGGAAGGCTTTCAAAAAAGTTCTTCAGTTGGTAATATCTTAATCTATCCATCTTATTAAAGACTTCACCCTTTCTTTCCTCCATATCCTTATATGACCCAATTTCCTCTCCTACCATTATATCTCTCAATTGCGCCTCCTGTTTTATAATCCATTTCCCTGCTATACTATCTTTACCCGGGATGAAATATTTTGTGTTCCTAAGTGGTATTAGTTGTGAATTAAAAACCCACCCCTTTTGTCTATGTAATAAATCCCATTCTTTTAAAACAATAAGAGTGTATGTGCTTGTGCTCTCCTCTAATTCTCTGTATTGTGCAGGCACCCAGACACTATTACTCAAACCTATTCCATTCAGTGTTTTCTCAATTTTGACCCAACTTTTCTCCGGATTATGAATCCAGTCGAAGATTCTTGCGATAATCCCCGCTTTGTAATATCACCTAAAATCTGGTACCCCCAGTCCTCTTTCTTTACTTCTAGTCAACGTTTCATACCCTATTCTAGGCTTTTTATTCCTCCATATACATTTTATTATCATTTTCCTCAGTTCTTTAAAATATGCCTCTGGGAGTTTGATTGGGATCATTTGAAATTTATATAATACTTTGGGGACAATTACCATCTTTATCAAGTTTATACGACCTATCCACGATGGATTTCCATTTCCCACTCTCCTCAATTCCTCCTTAATTTCATTTAATAACATTATATAATTGGCTTTATAAAGGTTATTTGAGGTTGATAGTTTTATTCCTAGATATTTTAATTTTGTCTCTCCAAAGGAAGGGGAATTCTACTTGTCTTTCTTTTTCACTGTTTTTTTTTGAGATTTATGTTTAAGATTTCGGTCTTTGTCGGGTTAATTTTCAGGTTCGACAGGTCTCCGTACTCCCTCAATGCTTTCATTAAATTTGGAAGTGATGTTCTAGGGTTTCCAACATAAAACATCAGGTCGTCCGCATAGGCCGCTACCTTATGTTCTCTATCACCTATCTTTATTCCTTTTATGTCTATGTTCTTTCTAATCATGGACAGTAAGGGCTCCAGTGATAACACGTATAGCAGTGGGGACAATGGGCATCCCTGTCTTGTACCATTTGACATCTTAAAGTACTCTGATCTTCCTCCATTTACCATTATGGTAGCGGTAGGCCCTCTGTACAACTCTCCAATCCACCCTCTCATTCTATCTCCCACTCCCAACGCTTCCAGAGTGTCCCATCATAAAACCCCAACTCACTCTGTCGAATGCCTTCTCAGCATCTATCGACATCAGTATCATTGGGGTTTTCCCTTTTTTGCCCTCCTGTATAAGCAACAGTGATCTCAGAGCATTATCTCTACCCTCTCTCTTCCCGAGACAAACCCCACCTGGTCTCCATGTACCCACTCCGGCATCAGCTGTTTCAATCTATTTGCCAGAACCTTTGCATATATTTTAGTGTCTACATTCAGCAGCGCTATGGGACGATAACTCGCACATTGTGAGGGATCTTTACCTTCTTTCTGTATCAATACTATATTCGCCTGTAAAGACTCTCCCCTTATCTTCATCCCCGTTCCCCAAGGCGTTCATATAAATCTTCATTTTGGGAATTAAAAGCTCTTTATATTTTTTATAGTATTTGGCCGTATATCCATCCGGACCTGGGCTTTTCCCTCCCGCCATGCTTTCTAATGCTGATTTTATTTCCTCTGTGGTTATTTTTGCTGCCTCTAGAGAGTCCAGTTGTGTTTCGCTTAGTTTCGGTAGGCCTGCCTCCTCTAGGTATATCTTTCTTTTCTCTCTATTTACTCCTTTTCCGTTTTCCTAAACGTATCCTGAGGTATGATATTATTCAACTCATTGTAATACTCTTTAAATATTCTAGCAATATCCTTGGTTGAGTGTACAAATTCCCCCTTGGGGTTTCTTATTTTCCTCAATAAATTTCTATTTTTCTTCTTTCTTAAAGTTCTCATTAAATACTTTCCCGGCCTATCTCCCCATCTGTACCTTTCACTTGTTATTTTATTAAAGACTCTTCTTTTTTCCTCCTCCATTACATTCTCTAATTCTTCTTTCTTCTTTATTAACCTCTGCATTATCTCCTTAGTTCTTTCCCTTTTATGCACCTGTTCAAGATCATATATTTCATTTAATAATCTCTTTATCTTTTCTCTTTTTTCTTTTTTGCCCCCATTGCAATAAGTAGGCCTCTGATGTAAGCTTTATGTGCTTCCCACACCGTTGCAACCGACACATCCTCTGTTTCATTCTCATCAAAAAACCATTCAATTTCTCTCTCAATCCTTTGACCAATCTCTTCCGCCATGAGAAGTGCCTCATTCAACCGCCATACATAACCTTCTCTCCCTTCTCTACCCCATCTTAACTTCATTGCAACTGGGGCATGATCCGACAGGGTACTTCCTTCAATTTTCACTTCTACCACCCACTCTATCACTCGATGTTCTACTAATATGTAATCTAGTCTAGAATAAGTCTCATGAACGTGCGAAAAGAAAGTATAATCTCTCTCCTTCATATTCCTAATTCTCCAGATGTCCACCAACTGACACTCATGCATCAATTTCTTTAACATTCTCAAGGATTTGTTTTCCTCCCTCCTCACAGAGGAAGTGGTATCTATCCGTGGGTCCATGCAGATGTTAAAGTCTCCCGCTACTATCATACACCCCACCCACTTTTAAAATCCATCAATCTCTTCAGCACTTCTCTCATAAACCTCTGTGGTCTCTTATTTGGGCTGTATATATTTGCTATTGTACACCTCAATTCCCTGTAGTTTACCTCTCAAAAATAAAAACCTCCCCTCCGGATCCGTTAATCTCTCCTCCACCCTCGAACCTTATATTCTTTGCGAAGCCTATAGCAACTCCTTTTGCTCTTTTAGTTGGTGAATCCGCATAGAACCATGTTGGAAAATGTCTAGTCTTCAGTCTAACCTTTGACTCTATCTCTAGATGTGTTTCCTGCAAGAATACCACTGAGGATTTTTCTATGTTGAAGTTCTTTAAATAACCTGAATCTCTTTCCTGGGCAGCTTAACCCTTTTACATTATAGGTTATATATTGGATTTCTTCCATCTTACTCTTTTCCTACCGTCTCCCTCTTCCTCCTTCCCTTCCTCTTTCTTATTGCTATAGAGCGTTTTTTATCCCCCTCTATCCTTTTCTCTCTCCCTCTCCCTCCCCCCCTCTCCCAATACTCCCCCCATTCCCTTTCCTCTCCCCCCCCACCCCCCC